AGGTGAAGAGTACCCTCATCTCCTTGCTGAACTGAGTCCGGTCTTTGATGCCAATACTCTCTTCCTTAACCTTCTGCTTTTCTCGCGCATTGACCAGGAATTTCATGATGAGGTTGCCGACCTTGAAAGTTGCGCGCAGCCGTCGAGAGCTCTCGGAATCTGTAGGCTTGGCGAGCAGTCGGCCCAGACTTTGCATGAGACATGATGTAACGAGAGAGTGGAATGATTTGGTCCGCGCATACTGATCCACCAATGGCTCAAGGTTGAACCGTCTGTCGTGCACTATGCCCAGTACAATGACAACAGCATTGAAGACGAGATCCTCGTACTCATCGCTTCCGGCATAATGGCTTTGTATAGCGAACAGGGCGTCGAACACTTCGCTCAAGAGCTTGACGATCTCAATCTCCGGAACGAAGTTGAAACGGCGCAACAATCCTACAAGCTCTCCTGGCGGCTGTTCCTGCCATTTGATGAGACCGAGTATGGTCGGATCTTGGGAGTATCGGGTACTACAAAGGAACGTCTTGACGTGGACAGATGCCATTGGACCCATGACATGGTCATCCTTCTTCTTCGCACTCCAAGGTAGGCCAAGGTATGCTCCCTTTCCAGCGATCATGCCTGAGGTGTATTCGTCGTATCTGTACAGCGTCAAAGCATGGTCGCCATCGCGGGCGAAGGCATCCTGGTTCCAGAGGGGCATCCAGCAAAGCGCAAATGGAAATCCGGGGGCATCGGCAATGCTCATAACCAAGTGTGATCCGGGAACATCCTGGGGGTCGATAGCAAGCCGGACTGTCGCGTTCCATCCCTCGCCTCGCTGGGCTGCTGTAGTGCGCCATGCGGTATGGCCTGCACTGTTAGTTGACGGGTATATGCACCCCTCAATGCGCTCCCCAGAGCTCTTACGGACCTCTATGGTAAGCTGGAGGTTGGTCATTTGAGAGGTTTGGATTAGCGGGACAGTGCCAGTCTTTGGGTGGGCCAGAAAGGCGTTCTTTGGGAGGAAAGGCTCGACGAGCGTGAGGTAGATGTCGCTGCGTGGCTTTGTCGGAGCCCCCGAGAAACCAATCTTGCGACACTGCCTAATGTTGTGCAGCATCGTGGGGATCTTGGCGATGAGGCCCTCGGCGTCTGCATGGACGAAGGCTTTCATGTGTATGGTAAGTCGACTGATAGGCGCGTTCAGCTTGTATTTGCCGGTGGCGCTTGGGTATATTTCTGGCAATACGCTGTCCCAGCCGCCATCACTATCCAAGATATCTTCTCCAGGTGTTGCTGTGCTGTACATCCTGACGGTCTGATCGGCCTCTGACCGGGCTTGCAGTATCTGATTGACAGACACCACACCGACTGCGATGGATCTCTTCAGCGTCTTCTGGTCTCTTGACAAAGCGCGGGCTCGCGTGCTTGCAGTCGCGGAAGAGCCTGGTCTCGCATCGGATGTCTGTGTCTGTGATCGGGACTGTTCGAGGCTCGGGCGATGGCGTTCATCCGAAGAATCTGTGTTTCGTGATTCGGTGTGTCGCGAGTTTGTTGACTCCTTCCGCTTGGAGCCGAACATGACGCTGCGCCTTCCTCCCTTGATGCTGCCCTGCTGGGAAGGCTGCACCGACCCCTTGCCTGGCGGTGTGTCCTTGCCCGTGCCTGCCTTCTCGGCTGCAGCCGGCGAGCGAAGTGGCTCGTTTGTCATCAGCCTGAAGACAAGATACAGAGTAGTGCCGGATCCTGCGCCCTCACCAATGTCGGTCAAGCTGAGATCCACAAGCAGTGCGCGCAGTTTGTCATTGCTCAGGGACACGGCTGATCCATCTCGCCCAGTCAAGTCGAATGAATACGCCTCGGAGAGTGGTTGTGGCGCTGATCCCGGCGTCTTCAGGCACAGGTACATGCTGATTTGAGCCGCGCCATTGACGACGTCTCCCGTCACATGTTTCAGACTGACGAACAAATGGTTTAGGTTGTGCTCGTCGACATGGGCTGTTGGTCGGCTGTCCAGTAGGCTCATCATCGACTGCAGTTTTGTGACTTCGATGGCCGAGTCGTCGCCCGTCAGGATGCGGCCGCGCTGCGAGGGGCTCCGTACGATGACGTCTCCGCAGAGCATCTTATTGCCTGCCACAAGGTCCCAGACGGTCGCCTCGCGTACCTTTTCCAGCTCCTTGGCCGTGAGAACCTTGTGCAACAGCTGGCGGCGCGCCGTGTCCAGGCGGTTCACTAGCCGTGACATCTTGTCCAACGAGCCATACTTGCGTGCCAGTAGCAGCTCGTGCACCTTTGTGGAGTGCCATTCGCGAAGGCAGGAGGCGATCTCGTCGACCAATGGCTCCTGGGCGGAGGTGGGTGTCTCGTCGCCAATCTTCAGCATCGGTACTGGCGCGGGCGGTCGTGGAGCGGTCGGGTCGGATATGGGCGAGAGCGGGAGCATCAATTGCTGCAGATGCTCTTCGCGCGAGGTCCACTGCGAGTGGGTGCTGCCCGCGCGCTTTCGGGCAGACCTGTGGCGTGAGAGTGGGCGGGCCAGGGACGAGGGCAGTGCAGAGACGGCATCCGTCTTGGAGGCTCGTCGCGCATTCGGGCCAGAGCCTTTGGCAGAGGGAGAGGTCGCACGTGTGCTTTCGGTGGGCGTGACGATGCCGTTGGTCGGATGCGCGTAGTGGCTGCCACGACCCGAGTCGTGTCCAGCGTCCTGGTTTGCCGTGTCTTTGCTCTCGCCCAGGACTTCACGCACCTCGACGCACGATCGCGGGAATATGCCAGAGAAGACGCGTGCCTCGAGTGTCTGGCCCTTCACGCTCGTCAGGCCAGCCAGCAGCGAGGGCGGCGCAACCAGATATCCTCGATACCATGATGCATCCTGGCCGCCCTGCTCAATGATGTACAGCTCGTCACCGATCTCGAGGGGCAGGTCGGCGGGCGACGAGGGCTGGAAGGGGTATATGCATATTGCGAACGCGATGCGCGGGAGCGGTCTCCAGCTCGGCATGGCACCAGACGTGTCGGGCTATATTGGGGGGAGTCGGCGACAGAGCATCACGAGCAGTCGACGGTAGGATGTGTTTCGGGGGAGCTCTTCCAGAGAGTTTCAGATACGGGTGTTGGAGGGCGCGCTGCTCAAGGTGCCCCTGATGAGATTACCGAAGGAAATCTGGGGATATGTCCAAAACCTTATTATGGTAAGCGGGGCACGTCCGACGTTGAAGCAGGGCGAGGGTGATTACTATGTGGCTGTAGTAGTCTAGGGCAGACGGTCGCGTGCAAGAAGAAATTATGTACAGCAAACAAAAGTTTCGACTGCGCAATGTTGATAACCTTCGCTGCACCGTTCGGTAGCAGCCGTGCATGCAGGGCGCTCGGGGCACAGGCTTCGTATCATCACCAGCATGGCCCTGGCCTCGAGTGTTGGTATCATCATCACTCGACGCGTTCCATGTCATAGCGCCCAATATACGCGCATCTCACATGCATCGGCCCAAGATTCCGTCGCCGTGTCCATCTGCAACAGGACATCTCAATCTTGGAATCTCGCCGTTTTCGAACCACGTTGCCAGAAGGGAAAGGCAGGGGACGCTACAGCCGGTGTTTAATTGGTGAATAACCTTTGATGCACATCTCCCGCCTGTCTTGGCTTCATTTTGGGCCAACAACCTTCCAAAGCACGTGCGTCTTGCTTTTAACTCCACACCCGGCCAACGTTCATTTCAGACCAGGCAACGGTCCGAGCTCGCTGGATACTTCTCCTACATGACACGAACTGCGAATCTGTGTTCTGCAGTCGTCAGTCTTCCAGCCTTCCAGAATAGTCAGCACGCGATCTCCGCGCACAGAGCCACGAGGTGAAACCGCGACGGTGGAGCCACCTCCGATGGGGCTGCACACGCCGCAAACACGCGCGCGATGTGGCGTGCCATCATTTGGCTGTATGGCGGTGCACTAAGCCAGGCACTTGCCGTTAGGGTACATTGCGGCCACAGCGTCCATCACACGACCGTGAACGCATCCCACCGACCTTAACACCGTTGAACGACCATCGAAACACCGAGTTAATGGTCCACTCAGAGGAAGTGGATCACAGTATGGTGCCCGAGGACGGCGAGTGCCCTCCCACTTCACACGTGTGTCGTAAAGGAGTATCAGTGGGGCTACAGGCTTCGGAACCTGGGCCCTGGGCCCTGGGAAAACTTCTTACTAAAGTCGGGCTCTAGACGCTCTGATCTACATTAGAGCTTGTCAACGTACTGAGGAAATACAGATCTGCTCTGTACACGTCTGTACTGCAGTAGTCTGGTCGGAACAGTCCCGAGTTCTCCTCTGCAGTCTACGTACCCACTTTGGGATCTTGGGCCGCGAAAGAGACAGACGTATAGTGTAGGACATGGTCGTAGGTATGAAGATCAAGAAATACGCGATTTGCTTTTCCGTCAGGAAAATGTTTGACAGCACTTACTGACAGAATGTACTGACCCCATGTCGTGAACACGCCAGAGGTTCAACTGTTCATCGGCTTCGAGACTGGACACTGGAAGGACAAGAAGGTCCAACAAATCAGCGCAATCGAGCTCCCTAAGTACAGTCGCGACAACGTCGGATCTAGCTCTACGTGCATGCCATCCGCTCCGCGTTGCGGGCCGGCGCGCGCCTATGGACTCAAACTTGCTCATCTGGCGGCACCACATCTGCGCATCACGGTGCCTGGCGATCTTGGCGGATGTGGTTCTCAACTCTCTTAATGATGGTTCAGACCCGGCAAACGCCTTCTTTGACAGTTTGACAGCTGACATCTGACATTTGACATCTTCATTTCCACTGCAAGAGCAGTCTCCCGCGTTTTCAAACCTTCCTTCCTTCCGTCTGAAACGCTGATACAAGCTGTTCTGTCACGACTTATATCGATCGACACGGACACAGACATGAACATGGACATGCCTTCGGCCACCTCCGCTGGTGCTCACGCACACCTCATGGCATCCATGCGTCCCGGGGCATCAATGTCAGCAATGGACATGTCGGGGATGGCATCGACCTTCTCGAGTAGCACCCGTGTCACACTTTGGTTCACAGAATGGACGACGACAACAACGGCGACCTATGTGCTAACGATCATCTTCCTCTTCTCCTTGGGCATATTCAACCGTTTTCTGAGTGCTTTCAAGAGCCAACTGGAGAGAAAATGGAGGATGCAACGGCAGGCCGAGAGCGCACCACAGTTCATACCCAATACGGAGAAACTGGCCAGCCACAGTGCCCGTGGTCACGTAAGACAATGGAGCCGTGCGCTGCGACAACAGCCTCTCGAACTGGATGAGAAGGACAGGGAAGAGATCGAGCCTTTAAGCCCAATCGTCCCACAACCAACTGCGGCTGAGGAGACTGGTATTACACGGGGCTCGACTGCATCACGCAAGATGTTTTGGGTAGCGCAGACCCCTTGGAATCTGAAGAAGGATGGCATAAGCGCTGCTTTGGAGTTTAGTCGAGCATTGATCGGCTACGTATTGTACGTTCGTGAACGAAACCTTTGAAAGCTGAGATGCTAACAACACAGTAGAATGCTTGCCGTCATGACTTACAACATCGGCTTTCTATTTGCTGTCACTGGAAGCGTACTCCTTGGCGAGATGGTATTTGGGCGATACACACGAGGCTCTGCAGGTCTAGCTGAGGACGGCTGCCATTCTTGAGTAGTACTTGACAGATACATACAAAGTGTGATGCGCGAAATACAGTTCTGTGGCCTTGCGAAACTACGAAAACGAGTTCAAATGTAAATGCAGACTTGCGTATTCAGATTTCACATCGGATAAAGATGATGTGAATCCATACCGACAGCAGCATCGTCGATTTAATACGTTGAACACGAAATCTGTAACCTTAAAACTGACATGCGAGATTCGCGATCTCGGTTTGTTATTTCGAGTTTGGTGTATTGGTGAAGTTGCTCATCCCAGCCCTTTACCATCCTCTTTTCGGTCCTCCTTTCGGTCCTCTTTCCGGCGGCAGTCACACCGCATCTGGGGTGGGGCACTTTAGGCAGCCATGCTGTCGTGTTCGACGCCGAACAAGAGACACTCACCACAACTTCTGACGCGGCAAACCTGCCGGACCAGAACATCATGGAGGTAAGTACGAGATTTCGACATTCCATTGCGTGCGCACTTGCCTTGGATGCGTCGCGAAGGCAGCCGGAACGCCGCCGATGAGCAAAACCATACAGGCTGAGAGCGACCAAGTTCTACCATCGATTGCCCATTGCGTCGCACTCGCTGACTGATTTTCAGGCTCTGCGCCGTCCGGCTGCGCATATAGTGTCGAAAGATACTATCGTCAATCCACTAGCTCCTCTTCCAGATGAGCTCATCCTGGAAATATGCGAGGTAAGTTATGCTCCGGGTCTTTTATAAGTACGTTCAAACGATAAGCTTTTTCGTGCAAGCAGATGTGTTGCATATACTGACTTCCGTTCTCACTCATATAGCGCGTTTTCCCGTGGGATGGATCTGCGCGATCAACTTGTGATAGAGCCTCAGCAAGGTCTACCTTTGCCGCTCTTGCTAGGACCTGCAAGTACCTGTATCTCTTCGGTATGCGATTCCTCTATGATAGCTGCGAGATCTCCAATCCCGAAAACTTAAGCGGCTTCCTCCGCACATTACACGACCATCCTGAAATAGCGTCATACGTCCGCGAGCTGTTGATCGGCGGATCCTGCGACAGGAGTTTTGCAAGTGGCAATCATCTGAGCATGAGCAAGGCAGAGATGACTGCACATATCCGAACATTATCCCTTCCTTACGAAAGCACTTTGGTCGAGGCCGTTGCTCTTCATCCGGAAGAAGTAGAGCTGGCGCTTCTTGTCTTGGAGGCTCGCACCGCTCTCCAAGTCCTTTCCAGATTGCATCACCGTTATAGTAGTCGTGGTTACTGCTCTAATACTCCATTGTGGGATCTGCGTAGGCATGGATTCCATTCAGTACCTGAAGACGATGCACATACGCCTCATCGGTATCTCTGGCTTACTCCCTTGCTTCACGCAGCCCAGCAGTATGTAACTGCACCAGCCGATACATCAATTGGGTTCGCGAAACTCTGTTTTCTGTCACTCGACATGACAGGAATACCAATGGCTAAGATAGCTCCCGTATTACATCTGCCATCGCTCAGGACCTTGGAGCTTCACGACATATCATACAGTGTCCCAACAATTGGCATCGATCATGGGTCTTGGGATATACTTCCAAGGTCGTCTAAGGTGCAAAACATCTCCATAGTCTCGCCGTCCGAACCGCCATTAGATCACATAACACAGTTGTTACAATCATGTGCGACTGTGTCAAGCTTCCGATGTGATCGACCCGATAAACCCGATGACAACGTAGTGGATTGGCATTCCACACTTCTCGAAGCTGCAAGATCACATAGCGAAACCCTCGAAAAGCTCGAACTTCGGACCGACGAAAATGGTGCACTTACCTGGACGGACGAATGGCCGCGAAACTATGTTTTATCTGAAATGGAAGAATTAGAAGAACTGGAACTGCACTACACTGCCGTTGTGGGCAAACAACGAGGAATCCATTACGATGAACTACCGGAGACGCCAGAACCTGCCCGATCGCTCCGTGATCTACTGCCGCCAAATTTAGTTGAGTTAAGACTAAAGTATGATAGATCCGCTATGAACGCCAATGTCGACTACACCGCGGAGCTACGGGAACTTGTTCAAGACGATATAAACTTCCCCCGCAAGCTCAAAAAGGTGAGCGTTCATTACGTTCATGACGGTGTGCAGTTCAAATTCCCCTTTTCGCTCCACAGCCTTCAGGAATACTTCAACGCACACGGTGTCGACTTTCACTATATTGTCAAGTGCGAGATAGACAATAAACGTAAGTGCTTCATGTACCCGTAAGCTCGGCACACTCTGATAGCTTTGTTGTAGATGAGCTGGACTACTTAGTGGCGACTCTGGCTGCCATGGGCCACGGGGGCGCTTATATGTGTAAATGGTTCATAACCGATGACAACTTTTGGATGACATCCGAAGCACTGCACGACAGGGTAATGGAAGAGATCAGAGCAGCTGAGAAACGCCAAGAGGCGCATTAGTCTGAGGCGACGATAATGACACGGCCACGATGGACTCAGAAAGCTTGGGTTTGATCAGCAAGCTGCGCCTACAAGCTGTATTCGATTGAACTGTCTCTAGGTCCTACACGCTTCATTTCCAGCTGTCTCCATCCCAAATCACCAAGTGACTTCCCCCGATCGTTGGAGGGGCGATCATACTCATGTCGGAAAACTGTAATCGATTCCAGAATTCTGCCACGCTGGCAGCCTTCATTGGCATCCAGCCAAAGTAACGTTGCGAACCAACTCGCGGGTTTCGCGAGACATGGTCTTCTGGACGGTAGTCGGCGTCCACAGCCTTGATGATGGAAGCGGTGGGGTCTGATAGAGCTTCGTCATCGGCAAAAAGGAATATTCGGTGTAGGTCGTAGTCCGTATTCATTGGTTGTTCGCCCTCGCCTCTATTGTACAGCTCGCGAAGCTGATTCACATCGAGGCCAGCCAGAGCAGGGTCTGAGCGCGCATCGAGGCGGAAGAGCACCCACAATTGTTGGAAGCCAGGATCGTCTTCTTCGGATCCAGTCGCGTCTAGAGCTCCTTCGCGCGCATCGGTTTGGATCTTCTGGAGAAGTTGCTGCCATTGCTGGTCAGATGAAGGTCCGTAGCCCGTACGGTAGATAGTAAAACCCCAGTTCCTGTGGCGGACAAACTCATCGTCTTCATAGATGCAGAGGTTGCCCACCCATTCTTTGACTGTGGTAGTCATTGGGGAAGGAAAGGAAGATGTTTTAAATTCGGAGAAATACGGATGGAGAGATTGTAATGAGATGCGAATGCAATCGTTTCGAGATATAACCGCTTGATTGAAGATTTATGTAACCACACGGGGTTTGACGTGTTTATAGCGTTCACATTACAAGAGTTGAGGCCTGAATACCTAGGCAGCCATCTGCGGGTGGGTCTGCGCACAGACAGTGCTGCCTTGCGACTCTCCTGCATAGGCAGGTATATATTTGAAGTGCGCGGGCGAGGTTTGAAGGTAATTTAGGTTTTTAGATATATTCATAGCAAAGGTACTCAGATATTCTATGAATCAATTCCTTGGCCAAGTATTGGTTGACAAGGTTGCGCCAATCCATGGGTACCAAACTTCGCGAACTTCCCAGCCACCATATGGACCCTATCAACGACGCTTCAATGCAACTCATACCCAATGAAAATTTGGACTCGTGCGCGTGGGCGATTTCATGTTGCGAATGCAAGGTCCTTGTCTCTTTTTTCTTTCGCACACTACGACCTTTGCCAGATCATAGCACCACCTGGGCACTTCAAGACGGATGAAGAAGATTCGCAAACAAATACGACAATAAATGCACCGCATTTTCTTCTCTCAAGATGCCTTCGCAACTACCTCGCTCAAGGACCCGGATTGATTTCGTCCCGAAAGTGCGCCGACCACGCGAAAAAAGGTCACATGCGTCGCTGCGAAAAAGCACCCTTACTGCTGTTTGCAAGAGCACAATGCTGGAAGTACCGCCCAGACAAGAGCCCAATCATGGTCTGCAGTACTTCCCTCTATGGCTAGCTGCTAAGGCAATCTGGCTCGGGATGGACTGGTGCCTCAATCAGGCCTTCGACGGTTTGGAAGCTATAGCGAGATTGCGAAGGAATGGGATTCAGAATCAAGAGATGGACTACCTAGCGAATACCAACTAGCAGAGGGAAATATTCCAACAGTAAGGAAAGAGATTTAGAGATTATACAGTATTTCCGCTAAGCCTACCCAGCGACCGATATACGCCCGACTCCTCTGATCACATCAATATTACCATGGCCATCAGCAGACTTTACTTTCCACCACCGATCACGCCCACTGCCCTCCGCTGAGCCGTGCCCCTACAGACAGGCGTCTCATCTCGTATCGCCTGCGGCGGGATGCGATACATGACCAGATACTCACCATAATGCAACCACTCCGCTGCTACCTCTTTGCTACCGGCGGCATCCTTCAGCAGGTCCGCAGCGCGAAACACTGGACCTCTAGCAAAGTGCGCGGGATCTACGGTAACAACCCAGGTGTCCTCGCCATAGCGCTCTCCGAAGTGCTTGGCGACGGCTTCTGCATGGGCTAGGTTGTCGTACACGCTGATGAAGGGGGAAGAGATGTTGGTTTGTTGGTTCAGGTGGGCGAGACCGAAACGGGATAGTGCGGATGTGTAGTTGACGATGGTGGTTTGGTTCTTGGAACTGAAGCCGGTGGAGAAGGCGTAGCGGGTCTGTGAGCTAGTGCGATGAACGCGGTAGACCAGTGTAGGTATGGCGGTTGGGGCGGGGGGTGGTGTCGGTGATGCATGGATCGGATGGGGTTGTGTAAGAGTGTAAAGTGCTATTTATCTATCAGTATGTTTATTCGGGGTGTCTGCGAGGGTTCGGAGGTTTACCTGTCATGATGAAGTTGCAATTGATGTGTCTTCAAAACAACGGGTTGTAGGGAATATGAGATTTTGCTGACTGGATATACTGTCCACGTCAAACCCACTTGTAGTGTCTTTGAGGTTTACTGAAAGTAATTGACAGACGACTCTGAATTGGGGGACTGTATGATGGAAGCTGCTACGTTCAAATAGAAGTCTTTTATGCCTCCATATGTTAGTTGAACGTACAGTCCCAAGAGACCGGTCAATGAGGCCGTTCAAACGGTACGAATGCATTTGAATCAGGAGTTCGTTGGTCATGTTGACTTTCCTTCCGCCGACGGGCATGTACATCGTTTCGTCTGTTCGAGTGTTGACTACCCGAGAGTCAACAAAGAGACAACGAGATCCCACGCTCGGTGCCGTCGGCAGGCCCAACCGGGTAGTGGGGACACGGTCACAATACATTTAGTCCTGAGGTACCGTACCGTTGCTACCTTTTTCGTTTGGTGACGGGGGTAAGGCCAGGTGCATGTGGAACGAATCGTCGGTGTCATTGCTTCGAATGCCCTTTCTCCATCGCTATCCGTTTGGTATGCAGATCGCGGTATCTTGCATGACCGCATAATGCGGATTGTGCATCAGGCGTATCGACGCGAAGGGCCTCTTAGCGAGGCACGTTTGGACTTCTAGCATACTCCGATGCGGAGAACACCGCCATGGATGATGGTTTGAGACCCTCGTGACAGCAAGGGACAGGCTATTGACGGAAGGTGCATCAGAAAACACATAACTGCAGACATAACGGGTTTGGTGTTTGACAAGAATACTGGATTCGACATGGAGACGTCATCTTTCCAAAAATCTGCCAGGAAAAGACTGGACGAAAGATAGAATTTTTGAGACATGGCTTTCTGTGCCGCTAGAAGCGTCAAGGCATCGGACCGATGTGTCGTTTCCTTGGAATCCAATATTGGGGTCGTACAGGCAAACGGGCATGCGCATACGTTGGAACGTCAGGCATCGCATCCCATTTGCCGTATGCGCCGTATTGTGAGAGAGGGACGTGCAGTCCCTCCCGAGTACCGAATGCGCATCGGGGATGGAAATTCACAGTACCGCCCACAGGGGCGCGGGAGGAAGGCGACCTGCGTGAAGTAGTGACGACACCTGTCGATAGGTTCTCACCGCTCCTTCTCCAGACGGCGCCGGTGGAATCGAGCTGACCATAACGCGATTGACATTCATGATGGAAGATGGGTGCGAAGACAGGAGTGAAGGTCCCACACGTGGTTCGGCATCCGCCCCGCGCGACTCTAGGCCATTTCGGGACAAGCGTCGCATTCCGAGGTCTCCAGAAGTCCGAAAAGTTGGTGGTGACAATCGCAGGCGCGCAGGCGGGCATCAACGTTACATCGCCACACAAACGGTATGTGAAGCTGCTCAAGACATAAACACTTCAATCTGACGTATCGGTAGTTAATTTGACTCCGTGTCGCCGCGGAGCCCACGCCAAACGCCACACCAAACCCATTCAAAGCCACTCGCAAACGCACCGAGACCTCGCATCGAAGCCACCAACCCTCTACATCACATATCCAACATGTCTTATTTCCGGATAACACTCATGCGCTCCGGCATCGGTATGCCCGAGAAGACGCAAGGAGTCCTCAAGGCGCTCGGTCTCCGCAAACGCATGACGACTGTCTACCACCCCGTCACACAATCTGTCGCCGGTCAGATCATGAGGATAAAGGAGTTGGTCGATGTTAAGGAGGTCAAGAACCCAATGACGAAGGACCAAATGCGCGCTGCGAGGAGACCCGATCCGGGGTACTATATCGAGCAGAGGGCGGGCGAGGCTATGGGGGCGTACGAATAAACGTGAAGAGATGGGAATGAGACGTGGTCTTCACATGTAAATTAAGGTGCGAAGAGGTATGCATATATGGCGTTTAGGGGCATGGTACTGCACGGTCAATCGAGGAAGAGCCTGATGTGCCATGAGCATCGTATACTCGGGAATGGAATAAATTATCCAGGGACCTCATCCTTCTCACAGATTGACACCCAGTTCCCATGTGTCATCGCTTCGAAATGATCCTTAGATGTCGGGTGGAAGTCGGAGTAGTCGGTCCTCGCGTGACCCATCGCATGAACCTGCCTACTAACTCGAGACCGTCAACAGCATGATGCAGTTCCATTCGCTACCAGAAATACGTATGTTTACCTCGCATCTACTGTACAAAATGCTATATCTCAAGCAAGGTATTCTCTTGATGGCCTCATTCATTCGCTTAGACAATCCTGTAGCCTGGCTGACACATCACAGCTGGAAACCCCGCATCAGGCTGCGTTGCGAATAGTCGCTTCTTTCGGTTTCACTGACCACCAGATAACTTAGCGGTGAACCGAACAATGAAGTTGATCACGATACGGGGGAACTATGAAGAACCCAAAATATTCTTTCCACCGCGAAGGGAGAAATCCCACAAAGCCGGAGAGGCGAGGCGATCATCTCTCTCAAACCCCGATACAACAAGATAATGGTCTCTTGCCTACTACGGCCCAGCAAGCCAGTGATCTTTTTCATGCTCTTCTAGGACCAATCAACCGTTCCTCCCATACTGCATATCAAAAGGTAGCTTCAACGAGAAGGCGGTTCGTGGTCGAGCATTGCTAACCTGCGCAGATCGACGCGACAAAAAAGAAGACCTTCGAGGAAACCACGCAGTCTATTCAGGAAACCCATCGAGAACAGCATTATGGAGGCCAGTCAGCGGATCATTTTACCATCACTGCCGAGGGCATCAAGCTTGCAGGAAGCATTGCGCATGCCGGTGTCGCTGGAGAAACTACATGGCCTGATTCGGATTTTGATGCTGCAGGGAGCAGCTCTACGAAGATTCCTAGGGCTGATTCAGATTTCGCTACTGCAGTGAGCAGCTCCATGAAGGTTCCTAGTGCAAGAGAGGTCGTGTATAAAGAGCTACAAGGAGCCAACGATTTTCGGCTTATCGAAGTATCTCCGGAGAATGGACGAGGTCCAGAGTGCAAGATGGTCTACAGTTCGCTTCGCCATCCACCCGATTATATTGCAATTTCGTATGCATGGGGGGATGGCTTTGATAAGAAACACATAACATTGGAAGGCATTGAACATGTTTCAGTCAACGCGAATCTTCACGATGCCCTAATGGCTGTCCGCGAACCAGACCACACTATTCTGGTTTGGATAGACGGGCTCTCAATTGACCAAGAGAACAAGACGGAACGCGCCAAGCAGGTCCAATTGATGGACAAAATTTACCGACAGGCAACATGTGTTGCCATTTGGCTTGGACCTGAAGCAGATGATAGTGGGCGGGCAATACGACTATTGACTGATTCGGCGGCCCAAGCGAAACGTAAATGGACCGGCCTATTGGAGCATCAAGACGTCAAAGCTTTGCACTCTTTATTCAGGAGGAACTATTGGAGTCGGCTTTGGATTGTACAAGAAGTATTCCATGCAAAGAAGAAGATAGTCTACTGCGGCGCTTCCAAACTCCCCTGGTACCTATGTAAGAAAGCATCAGATGCTCTTTGGCAGCACGAAAGCGACCCTTACCTCTGGACTGGACCAAGTAGCTTTCCAGACGTTCAACGTCTCATGGTGTTAGGCCCAAACTCTCTGCTAGAAGTTTTACGAGCTTGCCGAAGGAAGCTAAGCGAGAACCCAAGGGATAAGATATTCGGTGTGCTAGGCATACTCCCAAGCGATATACGCGAACGCCTGCATGTGAGTTACGACAAATCCGTCAAGTCGCTATATCTGGAAGTCGCCCAACTCATTGTCGGTTCCACCCATCGCCTTGATGTGATGCGCGAAGCGATTCACTTTCCTGTTCAGGTCAGCTTTGCCGACTTGCCTACATGGTGTCCAAATTGGGCCCAGGTCCCAGAAAACTCGGCTTTGTCCTCGGATACCTTCTCGGCGGCAAGTGATCGCGACGCTGAATACGAGTTCAAAGACGAGTTACGGAAGCTTGAGATCTCTGCCGTCGAATTGGATATTATCGATACGACTGGTGTGGCGGTAGGCACTCTGTGCTCGTTACAAGACTATCTCATGGCGTTTCTGAATTGGCGGATGCTGATGCTCTCTCATTTCGACATCACAGAAGAAGAAGAGGCTGATCATCCGCGCGTAAATGACTTCTGCAAAACGCTTTCATTAGGTCAGCCACTTGAAGAGTTGGAGAATTGCTGGACAAGAGCCTGCTATTATATCTTCTCTTCATGGATTCAGGAGCGATTCCCGCGTCTTCAGCTGGACCCCAAGTTCAAGCAACAAGGGGAGTCGAACAACTTGCAAACCCATGAGCTACGATCATTCATACAAAAATATTTTGGGGACAGAATGGTGCGTGCAACCTTCCACATCACTTTCTCTGCTGACGTATTGTAACATCTACAGATGGGCAGAACCTTTTGCATCACGAAAGACGGGTTGATGGGTATGGGAACGGGTTTCATGGGGCGCGAAGACATCGTGATTGTACCGTTTGGTTGTTCGACACCCATCATACTGCGTGCGGAAGGCGAAAGCAATGAGTATCGCTACGTTGGCGACGTCTATATCCATGGTTATATGCATGGCGAAGCGCTCGCAAGCGACAAGCCACTGAAGCCAGTCAAGAAGTACACGCTACACTGAAACGTCCATAGCTCATCAGATTTTCCTTTGAAGACTCGATCCAAAACTCTATGCAACCACCACAGGCCCAATACCAAAGAGATCCAACTCCCTGTTCTGCACCCAAACACCCCTCGCAATATTGCGACCAACCCACGGCTCCAGGCTCCACCCCAACGCACCCACCATCCACAAAAAGCCCACCACACGCCAGAACACACCATCCTTGAACCCCATCGCCTTCCCCAAGTCAATGACATGATCCTCCACCATGATAATCGCCGCCTGCAACAAAAAGCACTTCAACGCGCCATCATCATCAAACTCGCAATTCACCAACATACTCGCCACCCCATGCACCAATCCGGAAATACCAAACGCAACGAAAAGCTGAACATACTTGGACGCAAAAGAACCCTTGCGCAAACCCAGCACATCCCTCGCTAACCAAACACTAAGCGGAGAGCAAATCCGACGGCATTGCTGATGCCACACCACAGACCAAGCGCTGCGCACACTGTACAAATCGCGGAACCTACCAAACATGGAGGGGCAGTCTCGTGGATTAGCGAGACCGGTGGCTACGGATACAATGCCGTAAGCGATGTTGTAGAACTCCATGGTGGTGAATGTGAGCATGATATGAAGCCAAGTGTAGTAGAAGCGAGTGAGGAAGGGAGAGTCAACCGGGAAGGGCTGGTGTGGTTTCTGCGTGCGGATATCGATCCAGGAGCCGTGGGGGGATGCGGCGGAGTGGCAGACTATAATGTCTTTTATGACGAAGAAGATGAGGCCGCGTACGAGCTTTCGGGCGATGAATTTACTTGGTTGGGTTAGTTGAGTCGGGGATGATAGGTTGGGGGTAGACTTACAGACGAGGGTAGTCGCCCGGTACTTCCATGCACACATTCTTGACCTGACTACTCCATCCCGTGTAACGGCTCCACGTCGAGAGACGAAGAGCCCACCATGCTCTGCTCCAGAAACTTCTCCCTGCACCACCGGGTCTGTCTCTGTAATCCAGCTGTTTCACGTCGCCATTCTTCTTGTCATTTTCATCCTTCTCATATTGTATCTTGTACCACCCGTCTTTGTCGGGGCTCCCCAGTAAGATCCAGTCAACATAGGTGAACACACGAGCGCCCACTCCACAGTTGATTGCTAGGTTGTAGCCCCAACCTGCATCGCCCCATTCTCTGTAAAGAGATTGAACAGCGAGTAGAAGGAGAAGGGGGAGAGTGATAGAGATACGAAGGAGGCGGTGATCGGGTCCGGTGGCAAGGGTGAGGATGTTGAGTAGGTAGAGAAGGGGGACTTGTAATGTTATGATGATATCGGGGAGTTGAAAAAGCGACGTTGCCATGATGCCGGCTCCGCAGTCCAGGAGATGGCAAGACTGGAGTTACTGGGCATCGGTACATTGCGGCATACAACGGAATTTATATAAAGTAGACCATGATGCTTTGACCGGCCGTAAGATCTTAGTCCCCGTGGGTCAATTAGGGATCCCTACATGATGGGTTGGCCCAATGAGATGGGCTCGAGTACGTTAGCGCCAAGGTCCGTGATTTCAGGATAATGTCCCTGACTAGTGCAGTCAGATCGCGAATAGACGGTCGTGAACCGTGATTTTAACCGCAATGTGGTCTTGAGAATTGGTATCATTACAATGCTATAGTCGTGGTTGTAGTGAATGCTGCAGGTCGGTAGCCAGGTCGACACGCTGTGGCATTCCAAATTCAACATGTCCCCTCAGCACCTCTACTAAATTTCCACATCTTGAAAACTGGCTCCATCGCCATCGTCTTCAGCTGATGCTTGGCCTGGCTTTGGTCTCTGTGGTAAGCTTGCTTCCAGGGACTTCTCGTCGTTTGGCTCAGGCTCAGATTCGTCCTCCTCGCTATCCTCTTGCTGTGATTCCTTCCCATTTTGCGGCTTGAGATCCTCGGTTCGAGCCTTCTGTTCTTCTGTCTGCGTCTTCGGTTCCACTGAGTTTCGCTCACTCTTCTCGCTAACGTCGTCTTTGGGTGGCGGAGGGGGTGGTGCTGCACCGTCGGTATCGCGGTCACGCCTCGGTTGCTCGGGTGTAGGTGGTGTCACCTCGGTGCGCGGGCTCATGATGGGACTTCTGGGTTGCTGCTGCTGTTGTTGCTGAGGCTGCTGTTGTGATTGCTGGGCGGGTTGCTGGGAGCCTCCTGGACCGACGCTTCGTAACCTAGGGTCCGCGTTCAGGTAGTAACCCCTCACACCGACGATCCTGCCCTCCCTCTCGCAGCCTATGACCCAATCTGGAACGACTACAGGTATGTTGTTCTCGACCGCCTTCTCCCATGCAGGTCCTCTGCCTTCGGTACATACGAAGTGCGTGGTGTCGATGCGCACATTGTCCGCAATCTTGGCGCCGATTCTTTCCACGGACCGCTGCAGAGACTCTCGGAGAGCCGCAGGCATGTGGCCAGGCGTGATGGTGATACCAGACAAGTCCGTCATCTTGTGTGTTTGTACCAAGAGCTTCTCGCTGCTGAAAGTGCCCGCGCTCGTTTTGAGGACCAAATGGAACTGATATTCCGTGTCGACAGCCAGACCACTCAGCTTGGTGCTGTGCACGTCACTGGGCTTGGGTATTGTGCCTGCCTTGTTGCCATTGCGGTATAGTGTGAGGCTGCGCAATTCGGCGGTCGCGATATCGATAGGGTCCCACTCGAGGACAACTGAGGTTTGCGTGGCATTGCGGCATTTGAGGACGGGGGCTGAGGGGGTGCGCTGGCCAAAGGTGCGGAAGATCTCCGACTGGAGCTCATGGAAGGCTTTCTGGGCGTCGGCTTCGGCTTTGTAGTTTCTTCCAACATCGATATCCACCATGGAGCCCGACGAGATGTCGGGGGGTAGCAATATAGAAGGGAACTCAATCTACCTTTACGTCAGCCAGATGAAGAGCAAGGATGCGCTTGCGCTGCGTTGAGCGCTGGGCGGCATTGAGGGGCTCACGAGACGCTTGTCTTCTGTCAGTAGCACTGCTACTCCAGCATCGACCTTTCCGACTGTGAGGGAGACGAGCATCTTGGGCGTGACAGTGTGAGGGTGTCGGACGTGGGAGACGTGTAATGTTTGGTAGAGCTGAGCGGCCGCGTACCTGACCATCAATGGCGCGGCCCGAAGAGTCCCCGTGGCAGGCGCTAGCGGCCAGCTCTGGTCCACGCCCCTCTATGTTTTTCTATCAACACCATAGCATACCTAAGTAGAGCAAGCGCCATGGGAAGGCTACGCAGCGCTCATGATGAACAAGTGACATGATACATAGACTATGTAGCCACCTGCATGGGTGTAAATCGTGTCTTGGTGGATACGCAAAATAAGCACCCGCGATTGACCTCGAGCACTAAACTCTTCGTTTCGACTTGTGTAGTCTAGCAAACGGCGGTTCCCCTGTCACTGATACCTACGTCTATTCTTGCGATGCACAGTTGCGTTTGGACGGAATTCTTTACACTTGCCAGATTTCCAGCTCTGCGCTTGGAGGCATGTGAAAGAGGTCATTCATGCATCAGCAATTCACGACTAGTGATGATGACTTGGGCGGCTACTATGCAAATTCTGGTCAACATGTACGTGCAATAACATGATCGCTCGGCGGCGTTGCAGGATCCAGAGGTGAAAGTGAACTATGTTGTTGTGACTAGGAGTAGGACTGAGCCGCATGATATGAGCGCTGCTCGAATGGGAACATCTAATCGATTCCGGTCAAAGTTCATGTAGGGCGGCCAGACCTGCCACACCGACTTCCCAGCCACCCTTGCGAGAGTTGTAAGACGCTGTATCGTATTCTTGAATTCCTCGGCTCGTGTGCATTCGTTTCATAATATTAAACTCAATCTTTTCTCGCAGAAAACATGCAGCTGATGACGTCATTCATTACCATTGACCTCCCGTACATGAGTAGCCATACGACTCGATATGTTTAGTGCTACCCCTCGGATGTCGGTGATGCATCACGTGAATTGGCGTCTGGCGCGCAGGCTCGGAAACGCGACTATATGCATCCCACCTCTTGTACATAACTGTGCTGCATGCCGCGGAAGCAGGGACGACACCACGCTCCAAAGTCGATACGTGTGGCATGCGAATCCCCATGCCGGGATCCGCTGTCAGCACTCCACACCCCAGAAGGGCCTTCCGAAGCTGGCCAGGTCCGATCGGCGATGGCACGGTGGGGAGGGCCGGAGGCTAACGTCTTTATCGTGGTTGCTTGTTCAAGGCTGGCGTCGCCCCCAGTAAGCGCGTTCAACACTTTGGCGCAGAGATTTTGAAAGCGGCTCAACAGATGGGCGACACGTGTAGCCGACGCTGCTGCAGCGGCGGGCATGGGCATTTCCAAGCTTCTGGCCAGCCTTTTTGCGGCTCGCTGGACATGGGATTGAAACCTGGCGGACGAGGGCGTTAGGCTAGAGTGGGCTTAGGTCAGCCGTTCGCGATAAGTCCCGCGCTGCACGGTTGCCGTCCTATGATGCATCGCGAGTTCCTGCGTCGAAAGTCGGTGGTAGCCACCACCAAGACACGCGCCTTGACAAAATCCCGTCTGCCTTCTGTCTCTTCCTCTATGCACACCACCTCCAAACATTGGACTCTCTCGCTATCAGCGTCTCTCATATACATTACCCCACCTACTTCTTCTCCACTATCTTGATCGTCTAGTTACCCCATTGTTTGCTCCATACTACCTGCAGGAAATAATTCCTTCGACGCCGCTGCACGCGCCAACGCCCAAACCTCACTTGCTGTCTGCCGTCAACACTCCTCCTACACCCCTCCGGCACACATTGTCACCATGGTTCTCATTGAGAATCAAGAGTACCTCTGCGAAGAGGAGAAGCGTCTGAAGCAGGACCGAGAACGCACCGCCTACTGGAAGCGATGGGGCCCCTACGTTGCCGAGAGGCAGTGGGCAACTGGTCAGTCTCTATTCCCATGAATCTGTTACAATCAATCTAACAAGTGTCCAGTCCGCGAAGATTACTCGTGAGTACCCTTGTTGTCAACGCCATGGTTTGCTACTAACAAACTTCTGCAGCGCTGATGGAGATGCCTGGAGCCGTGAGTACTCGCCTTCGGTGCCATCCAATTTCTCTAATGCCTCATAGATTTCACGCACGACATGGCGCGGTCGCGCGCCTTTCGCTGGGGCGAGGACGGCATTGCTGGTGTGTCTGATACACACGGCTTCCAGAACATTGCCTTCGCTTTCTGGAACGAGAAGGAGTATGTGTGCGCCAGTGCCACTCTTGCGATACACGCTGACTTTCCTGCAGCGACTTTCTCAAAGAGCGCCTTTTCGGTTTGTCCAACCCACAGGGTAACCACGGCGAGTCGCTCAAGGAGTGCCATTTCCACCTGGACAACACGCCAACTGTATGTTGGCTTCGCTCGCTACAGAGATACCGCTGATTCAGTTGCAGCACTCGTACATGAAATTCCTGTACAAACTTCCTCAGCGGAAATTCCCATACGAAGAACTCATCGAGACGAACGCGAAGCGAACGCGGTTGGACAAGGAGTACAACCTCGTTGACACAGGCATCTTCGACGATGACCGGTATTGGGACATTTTCATCGAGACAGCGAAAGAAGCGGACGATCCAGAGGAGATGTGCTTCCGAGTGACAGCTTACAACCGTGGCCCAGAACCGGCGCCGCTGCACATTGTACCTCACTGTTGGTTCAGGAATACTTGGGCATGGGGCCACGAGGACCCGAGTCTGAAGCCCTCAATCACCAAGATTGGCCCAACAACAGCGCAGTCGAAACACCACAAGCTGGGTGACCGCTACTTCCAGCTCTCCCCGTCCCCTGGCACCGGCCCAAGCGGCGAAGACGTACAGCCCGAGCTTCTCTTCACCGACAACGACACCAACTACAAGGGACTGTGGAACGTGGAGAACAAGGTTCCATATGTCAAGGACGCTATCCATCGCCGCATCGTGGACGAGCAGAAGGACGCTGTCAACCCTGAGAACACTGGTACCAAGTGCGGTGCTTGGTACGCGTTCGACGAAGGCGACGGTGTCCCACCTGGCGAGTGCGCTGTAGTCCGCTTCAGGCTCTCAAAGAGAAACGACGGGTTCCTTGATGAGGAGATGTTTGACGACATTATAGAACAGCGTCGCGCCGAAGCCGACGAATTCTACTACAGAATCAGCCCTCTCCCAATCGCTGACGATTTGCGCAACATCCAGCGTCAGGCATTTTCCGGCATGATGTGGTGCAAGCAATACTACCACTTCATCTGGGACCAGTGGGCTAACGGCGACCCTGGCATGCCTCCTCCACCACCCGGTCGCAAGGCTATACGCAACAAGGAGTGGAAGCACATGTACCTGGACGATATTTTGTCCATGCCCGACTCTTGGGAATACCCCTTCTTCGCCGCATGGGACAGTGCTTTCCACTGTATCACACTTGCCATGATCGACCCCGACTTCGCCAAGAAGCAGCTCGACCTTTTCACACGTGAGTGGTACATGCACCCGAACGGGCAGCTACCGGCATACGAATGGAACTTTGGCGACGTGAACCCTCCGGTACATGCCTGGTCGCTATTCCGGGTCTTCAAGATTGAGCGCAAGATGTACGGACGTGAGGACTTTGATTGCCTCGAGCGCGTATTCCAGAAGCTGTTGCTGAACTTTACGTGGTGGGTCAACCGAAAAGACGCTGACGGAAAGAACATCTTCGAAGGTGGTTTCCTCGGTCTCGACAACATTGGTCTCTTCAACCGTTCAGACCCATTGCCGACCGGCGGTACCCTGGAGCAGGCCGACAGTACTGGCTGGATGGGCTTCTACTGCCTGAACATGCTGAACATCTGCCTTGAGCTCGCCAAGCGACGACGCATCTACGAAGACATGGCCTCCAAGTTCTTCGAGCACTTTTTGATGATCAGTGACGCTATGCAATTCCGCAGCGACGGCGAGTCGAAGCCGCTGTGGAACGAGGAGGACGGGTTCTACTATGATGCCATCTCTTGGGGTGGTCCATGGTGCCATCAGATGCCCGTCCGTTCTCTGGTCGGTCTCATTCCTCTGTACTCGACTATGACGCTAGAGCCGGAGGTTATCAACCGCCTACCCAGCTTCAAGAAGCGAGTGGAATGGTTCATTGCTCACCGTCCCGAAACTTCGAAGCGCAACATCCATACGCTCTCCAAACGTGGTAAGGGCGACCGCTTGCTTCTGTCACTTGTCAACGAAGACAGACTGAAGCGGATAATGAAGAGAATGTTGGACGAGGACGAGTTCTTCGCCGACCACGGTATCCGATCGCTTTCAAAATACCACAAGGACCATCCCTATAGCATGGACGTCAATGGCCAGAAGTACGAGGTAGCTTACCTCCCCGGTGACTCAGACAGCGGCCTTTTTGGTGGCAACAGCAACTGGCGAGGTCCCATCTGGTTAGCCGTCAACTTCCTACTCATCGAATCTTGCCAGAGGTTCCATCTCTACTATGGCAACGATCTGAAGGTTGAGTGCCCTACGGGGTCGGGTGACTACATGCATCTCGGCCACGTTGCAGAGGAGATTCAACATCGTCTTCAGCATTTGTTTGCTCGCGGAGATGACGGTAGAAGGGCCATCAACGACGGCAACGAAATGCTCGACTTTGACCCGAACTGGAAAGATTACATGTGGTACCACGAGTTCTTCGACGGTGATACCGGACGTGGCTTGGGAGCGACGCATCAGTGCGGCTGGACCGGTCTGATTGCGAAGATGATTCACGACACTGGGTAAGTTCAACGACATTATATATAGTACCTTCACTAACAACGTGTAGCATGACCTGCCGTCTGCCACAAACGCCGCGCACACCTACAGGCGCTGCCGACCATTACTTCGACGATGTGTTCACCACGACAGGCAAACCAGCGAAGCGCCAGGCACTCCGTCGGTCTTCTACTAGCCGTAGCATAGGCTTCCGAAGTGACTGGGGAGAGACTTCAACCAACGGCGAAGAGGAGGACGCTACAAGCCCGATCAAACGCAAGAACTCTGTCGGTGTACTGGACCAAGCCGCCCTTGACCAGAAGTCGGCAATGGAGGATCGTCTCCACCATTACGTAGCTGGTCAACTTCAGCGCATCAAGA